TCCAACCTGAGTCAACGACTCTAGAGGAAATTACCCTCGCTCAGCAAACAATGCAAATGTTAACTGCTTTGTATTGTACATATATTTACTACTGTGAACAATACAAATTAGCTTTTTGTACAATACTATCCAAGAATCATTCTTGTTTCCAGTCTCATCTAAAACTTCCTAGTGGTTTGGCAAACGTTGCTTTAATTCAATGTGATGGTCCAGGTTGACAGGTGTGGAGGTTGTTCTTTTTATTATGAAGATAAAACAACTTATTAATATGGTCCTCTCAATGTTTGTTCTTATTAAGCTCAATAATAATCTGCCCATGCTTTAGGGTCAAAGTCAAGATAGGGTGTTCTATCTAACTTTGACTCATTTTTTTGTTATGTGGTAAAATTAACTAGCTTATATATAACAAAAAAGAGGCACACAAAATGATCATTCATTATAGTTTCGTTAAATGTGTCAATTGGGTTATGAAAACATATTGTAGAGGATGAAAGTTTAAAATCGGACGATCATAGGCACGTTTGCAATCTAGTCATGGTTTCCTGTATTTTATTTTAAACTGTTTACTTTCTATTGATAAGTTAAATGCATTTTACAATTAAACGTTTCAGGAAAGAAAAACATCATATAAATAACTATACATTGCATATGGTCATTATAGAAGCCATTCTTTTTATTATTCACACACACTTTCATGGTAAAAACTGTAAAGTTAATAACATTGACAAAAACAAATATTAAAATAAATCATGTACACAAATATAAAACTGATATAAATCATGTACACAACAAGAGAGCCATGATGGCCCTGAGGTCGCTCACCTGTATATAGGCCTCCCCCCTCCCCCTGGCAGGGCCAATTTTAACCCAAGGGCTTTTATTTGAACAAACTTGGTAGACACCCATAAGAAGATGTTTCATGCTAAACATCTAAGCTCTAGCTCATTGGGGTTTTTCAAAGAAGATTTTTTAAGTTTTTACTATACACATATAGTTAAAAAATTACACCCCTGGGGCGGAGCCAGTTTTGACCCCAGGGCTTTTATTTGAACAAACTTAGTAGACACTTACTAGAAGATGTTTCATGCTTAATATCTAAACACTAGCTATTCAGGTTTTTTTCACAGAAGATTTTTAAAGTTTTTGCTATACACATACATGTGTAAGGAAAATCAATTTTGACCGCAGGGCTTTTATTTGAACAAACTTTGTAGACACCTATTAGAACATGTTTCATGCTAAATATCTTAGCTCTAGCTCTTTGAGTTCTTTAAAAGAAGATTTTTTCAGTTTTTACTATATGCATATAGGGAAAATCAATGACCCCCTTGGGCGGGGCCAATTTTGACCCTATGGCTTTTATTTGAATAAACTTGGTAGACACTCACTAGAAAATGTTCATGCCAAATATCTAAGCTCTAGCTCTAAGAGTTTTTTAAAAGAAGATATTTAAAGTTTTTTCTTTTGGTTGCCATGGCAACCAGAGTTCTGCATGGAATTAAATTCTTCGAACAGTTTTTAAAGGTGACCACCAAAGGAACATTCCTGTGAAGTTTGGATGAAATTGGCTTAGTGGTTTATGAGGAGATGTCATTTAAAGTAACAGTTTACGGACGGACGACGGACGGACGACGGACGGACGCCGGACGAAAAGCGATCACAAAAGTTCACTGTGTCACTTTGTGACAGGTGAGCTAATAAAAAGGTTTATAGTAAATATTTTAGAACACACTTATCTAATAGTAAGTTATGTACACAAATACGAATCCTATATAAAATCTAGCACACAAATACAAATCTTCTAGAAAATCATGTACATAAAACAAATATTATATAATGTAGTAAATCATGTACACAAATACAAATCTTATAGTAAGTTATGTACACAAATACAAATCATACATACAATCAAGCACACAAATACAAATATTCTAGTTTATCATGTACACAAAACAAATATTATATAATGTAGTTAATAATGTACACTAATAGAAATCTTGTAGACATTATGTACACAAATTCAAGTCTTACATTAAACTATGCCCACAAATTCAAAACTTGTAATAAATCATGTACTAAATTCAGATCTTATACAGTATTAAACGTTAAACATTTCAATGACATTATGTTAGTAAGAAATCATGTTTTTCAAATTCATTTTTCATTTCCATTTATTTTAGTTTTTGTTAAGATTTATGCAGAAGACTAAATCCATGCTTATTAATTTAAGGCCACCTAAAATGCCTCCTGAGATTTTTTTAAATGTACGTTTTGTTTAGAAGATAATGTTGTTCAAAGAGCAACAACAAATAAAATTGCAAACAATAAATAACTCTATTCTTGTGAGATAAAAATGTGATTTCATAGTGAAATGTTTTAGCGCTAGTCTATATACACGTTTTCATATATTATAGCAATTTATTAGAAGACAAAGGCATGTGCAATCACATGAGCATAACTTTTTGATAGGCCTAGTAGACACTTAAGACTACAACCCTCGGTCCTGCAGCAACATTAAAATGAAAAAAATATTTAAAGCAGCTCATACAAAACATATAACAGTACTTTTGTAATTTCTAATAGGAATATAATTTGATAAGCTGTCATTTAGTTCACGTCATAAATCTATATAATAAACTTCAACACATGGATGAAAATAAATCTGATATTTAACACTTTGTCTACTTTGAAACAAAGCTGTGTCATTAAAAAAAACATATATGTTTATATATAATCATGACACTGAAATATTTTACTTTTACAATTGAAAAGGACTAACAATAATTGCCCCAATGAAAAGATAATGCAAAAATTATCATTTATCTCATATTATTATATTGTTATTATTATAGTGTTATACTCCATCTGGACATTCGTGTTAATAAAATTGTTTAAAGTGTCATCGTGTTACCGGAGCGTAAGAAGCGCCGAACGGACAATGACTGGAGTCACTTAACTTACTAAAATGAACAATTATCAGTTAGAAAATATATTGCGAGGATATCCAGTGACAGTGTGTGCGGCTGATAAAATTCGCAAACAAAAGGGAAGATTCGTTATTTCCAATACGGATACGGGCAATGGCCCGGGAAAACATTGGGTGGCTTTTTATTTTTTCCACGAAAGGCCTTACGAAATTTTTCGACTCGATGGGAAATTGCCCGCAAAGCTATCATGTTGGATTGAGAAGATACTAAACAAGAAAATACCTTATGAATAATGGGCAGCTACAACAGTCTTCGTCTACGTGTGTGGACTTTATTTGCGCGTACTACGTCATCAAAACGATATAGAGGAAAATCAATGAGAAACATTGCCAGAAAAATTATTCCACAACGAAAAAAGCTCAATGATTACCTTATAGTGTCTAAAGTGATGAAACTGGAAGAAATCCAATAACAAAAGCTACTAGACAAAATGCATCATTACTCTTAACACCATAATTACTGTATCAGAATGTTGTATGTTAATAAAATAAAAATTGAATTGTTTTGTTTTTTTATTTTTCGCATGGTAATACATGTATATCCAAATAAAATATATGAATACATATATTGCCTTGTTATTTATGATGTATTGTCACTGTAATTGACCACCTTCAATGTCTATCTTTGTGGTGTCCATGTAAATATCCCGTTCTGATAAGCACTTCCAATCTTTATCTATAGGGTGTGTTGGTTCATCCAGTTTCTGTTCCATTGGATGTCTTTTGAAAGGTTTACATACATCGACGTATTATTTTATATATTCTCCTGAGTGAGGATTGTTCTCCATTAAGATCGGTTGAACTGCTTGATACCCATAGGTCACTTACTCATAATATACACTTTCTCAAATGGTCAAATAATCCTTCTGTCTGATTGGTTACATTTAGTCCGTAAGAAAAGAGAAACTGCTGTTAAATTTGACAATGTCATTTCTAAATTTAGATCAGCGCATGCCGTATGATGTATCGCACTGGTGACTTCGGTCATTTGGTGATTGGAAGTCATAGAGTAAACATCATTAACGCAGTAAGTTGAGTTTATATTTCGAGTACAGTATTTTCAATGAAAAATGGATTATTAGAAAAAGAGCGATTGTGCACTAGTGATTTTTATTTCGATTTTAGTCCGTATTTATAAAGAGCGCCTTAAAAACATTTCGTACGATACCAAACATGACCAGGTTATATTGACTAATAAAGGCGTAAATCCACATTTTACGCTTGAGTGATTTTATTTCATTTATCGGGCCCTATCCGAGTCAGCGATACAAAATTATACCATTTTCTGAATCTAGTGAGTAATACCTTTCGTTCGATACAGGTATTAATAAGATCGGTCCGTTGGTTGGGGAGAAAAAATGAATTTCACGCACGAGTGACTTGACATCCGGTTTGATCGCGTGACTCGTCAAGACCTTCAATTTGATACCAAACACGACTATGTTTCGTTCATAAACGAAAAAGTTATGCGCGTTTTTCCGCATGAGTGATTTTGTCTGCCATATTCAAACTCTCCTATCTCGAAAACGGTAAGAGATAGATCCATCAATATCTTATTGCAATGAACTCATTTAGTTAATATTTTAAGTTTACCTATTAACTAATCATCTCGTGATTGTTTCGAGTCTCGGGTTTGGAAGATTTTAGTTAATTTCAAACATTATATATTTTGTATCCTCAAACAATGAATTGACTTCATTACACTATTTGCCTTCAGTTTTTGTACACATACGAAACTAATCCATATTGTCATCAATCCTATCTGATACGTTAGGGTTTTTTTCAGACCCACTTTGCAGTTTATGATTTTGGTTATACCTTAAATACAGGAAATCACACATGAATGTCAGTTCTTAGCTTGATTAGTCTTTTGTAAATATGCCCATTTGTTGGAAGATAAAATGCACATACTGCTGAAAATACAAAACAACAAACTTTGTACATAACAATCATACAAGAACCAAGTGAAAACTATTTATTTAGAGTTTTCATACTTATTATCAGGTCACTCACATATATTTAGAAAACTGTCAGAAATTATAATTCACAGGAACCTATGAAATATTTACAGAAGAAATTTCCTCAGTTTCCATTTACATTCCCTTTTTGAAATTGTTAAATTCGTCTTACAAGGGTTATGTACAGCGTAGTATTGATTAAATGTTCGACACATAATAATGATGTCTATTTCACCTGTCACTTGTCTCTTTATATAAATTGTTATCCAAGTTCATTTAAGGTTACTCAGTACCTTTTACTTCAAGTTTGTTGTTGTTTTGAACTCAAACCAGTAATCTCCAGACTTCATGGTGCCATCATAGGTGACCACAAAATCGTCTGAGTGTTTTATAAATGTTTTAAACTTTTTAAATTCTCTGTCAGGTTTTATATCACAACACCTCAGAGAGACTGCCAATGTATTTGAAAGTTTGTTTATAACAGTAATGAGATCATGTAACACTGAACAAGACATTGCTACACGCGTAAAGTAAATACTTTTATTACTGATCATTTCAGGTGACAGTTTTAATGATCTTTCACCTAGATTGATCATAGACAACCAAACATCTTTCAAATGATGCAACAATGGTAATGTTTGCAACATTGTGTCTATGTCACTGGAAGATTCTAGATACCTACACTTAAATGTTTGTAGTTTACTGGCTTCTGGTAGTTGACTGAGATAAGATGACACAACACCAGGTTTATATAATTCACCTACACAACATTCTTCCAATAACGATACATCAATGTTTAATTGTGACACAGGTATCTTGGACAATCTTAAATTACTTAGTTGTGAATGTTGAGAAAGGTCAAGGTTGAATCCCGTACATGAAGTATTCTTGTGATCACTACAGTATAAACTGTACAATATTATGTCTTTCATTGATTTTTTACTAGTGAGGATATTAAACAATGTCTCCATTACCTGGTGTGTCATAGTGAAATATTCTATATTTAAACACTCCAGGTGTTGTAATGTTACCAGTCGTCCATTTATCTCTGCAGATAGCCGGCGACGTTTTCCTACACATTGATGATTTTCCAATTTACTTGATATCACAGTTAAACATTTTAAAGGGTTCAAAAACAAGCTCATTATTTCCATTCCTACTATTTCACCACAATAGCATAATTTCTCTATATGTGGAAGATCAGAGAGTGTAAACAATTTGATAATTTCTTGTAGACTACAAATACCTTTATTTTCTATCATTATTGATTTTATGTTTTCTTTATTTTGTTGACACAGCTGTTGTAATTGTTTGAGGTAGTTTTCTTGTTGACAGTTTTCATTAATGACGAAATCTTGTAAACACAATTTGAGGTCTTTGTTTTCCTTTCTTTCTTTTGCACAAGAAATGTACATGTCTTGTATGTCTTGTAATCGCATAATGTACATGCGATCATATCTTGTCAAAGTTCTGTATTTGATTGTTATTTCATCATTGTTTATCACAGGCATTAAATCACTTGATATTGCAGACATTAATTTAGGGTTCATGTTACTGATGAAGACAAACACTTTTGACTTGTCTAGAATATTTTGTAGACAGTGGCACTCTTCATATAGGATTTTCTGGACTTCACTTGAATTTTGAAAACTTATAAATATTGCTGAAAAGTATTCTTGTACTGTTTTATGTAAAAATGAGATTTTAAAACGTTCGTTTATTAATGTTTTCACTTTACTTTCTGATAATAATCCTGATAGACAGCTTGATTTCAAATCTTCTTGGTTAAGATATCTTTCAGCAATTTTTTCATCAAAAACTAATGCATGCTCCTTTGTCTTACTGAACAATGTATAAAAAGCTAGTTTCCCAATGGTCAACAAAAACGTGTAGTACCTACAGAAATGGTTATTTTTTCTGAAACATTCAGGGACGTAACTCGGGGGTGTTTTACACGATGAATGAAACTTTCCATGTAACTTTTCTGTTCTATATAGGAGGAGCTGAATAATGTCTGTATATAATTCTACTGCTGAATTTCCTATTGGAATTTTTTCAACCCATAAACATATAAGATAAAGTAATAGAAGAGGGGTAGATTCCATATATTCAAGGTCATGGTCACTGATTGCTTCTTCAAATCTACACACTTCATTCTTCAGTTCATTATCGTTTAATTTCTTATTCAACGTTTTCATTGCTTTACACTTAAACTGCCTAGCATTGTCTTTATTTAGTTTAGCTAGCTCTATTGTTCCGCCTATTTGATTCAAGTTTGACATTCCAAGCTTCCATGGCCGAGTCGTTGTTAAGATTACACACTTTTCACGTGCATATCGATGTGGAATAGTTTTAGGAAGTCTTGAACAATCGTTGTCAGGATGAGTCCATTCATCTAGTCCATCTAATATAACAAGACATTTTTCATCTCGTAGAATGTCCTTTAAAAGACCTTCTGGTATTGAAGATGAGCAAGGGAGATTTTGTATGAGTTGTTCTTCAATCATGTCGTCAACATCACATACTTTAGCTGAATCTCTCAATAGCACTAGAAATAAACACTCAAAGCCAGATAACGCCTTCAACTCTTCTTCTTTAAAATGCTTATAATTGTCATCATTTTGATGAGCTTGACACCACGTCAAGGCGAGATATTTTGAAAATGCTGTTTTCCCAAATCCAGCGTCCGCTGATAAGTATATTTCCTTTTGAACGGTCCTACACGATGAAAACAGGTCCTGTAACGACTTGACTCTAGTTGTTTCTTTTCTTCCACCAGCCTGATAAGTTTGTATGTCAATTTCTGGCATAATGTAGAACCCGGCTAGAGGGGTAGGGACAGCATCTGTGAGTGGTGAAAGAGGAACTGTACTCTGATAGGTTTTGTACCATGTTATAAGTTCATCCTTCAGTTCTGAAATAGAAAAAAAATCACAACTTATTCATTTAGATAGAGTCATGACGCTCAAATTCTACATACTGCAGTACATTAAAACGGAAACAAAATAATGAAGAAAGTTCTTTCTGAAATAATTGTATTTACAACAGTAAGATAAATAAAACACTCCGTAGAAAAACAAATTCAATGATGAAACTGCATGTGTTCGTCTGCAAACTTTTGAATTTACAGTAGCAGACGAACACATCTTTCATTTAATAACTCATACTGAGTACAACATACTTTTAGAATACCTCTTTGTTGTAGTATCTCTCTTGGTTTATTTTATCAATTCAATCTGAATCTTACAAATTCATGAAAATATAAATAGATCTAAGTTTTTTGGGCAGCCAGCTGCTGTCAATGCTACTCAGTTCAGTTAATATGAAAATGCAAGGAGCACTGGCTGAATTGTAATAAACATCAATCTAAAAATAGACTTTCATCTGACAAAAGTGAAGAGACAAGAAATATTTTTTGAAAAGATGCACTGCCGTGTAAAAAAATAAGATGTTTCAAAGTCGCTTTTAGATTTGATACTGCACTGTGTACATGTTTACATAATTACAGAATTGAATAATTTTACCCCTCACTGGGCGTAGTGGGGAGGGGCATTAAGTTTTGCTCATATCTGTCGGTCCGTTACTGTATATTTATTATATTTATTTGAAGTGTTTTTGCCCTTAATTTAGTTTAAATGTTTGCGTTACTTAAAACTTTTTGACCTACTGTAGTAGAGTCATGAAACTTTACAGAAACAAAAGCGGATGCAAAAAAGCCTCACGGTAGGGGGGGGGGGGGGGGGGTGCAATTTTGACAAAAATAGAGAATATAACATAATTGAAGTTAAGGGTGTTTTTTAAGCTTGGACCAGCATCGGAAATCTCCCGGAATCACAGTCGCTAGTCACATAATAAAATATTTTTAATAATCGACCTATATACATGTATATTAAGATTAAAGTATATAGCCCATATAGAACATATAAAAAGTTTGTTTCAAGCACCTGTGCGCGGAATATATATAAAGTTTTTCACAGTCTATATTCTACATGCAGTAATACAAAATATTATAACATATATGTGCATCGCCAATATTATAATTAATATAAGTTCTGATTTGAGTATCATTATTCTCTTGATATTTTATTTCCTACATAAATAGTTTTCATACTTGTAATTGCCGGCGCTTGTAAACAATAGTTTGTTTCATTTTCAAAAACCGTAGCACAAGTTATTCATTCCAAGTGTTTTCAAAACAGCTACCATTGTTATTACAATTGATGACCTTTCTTTAATAAACCATTTTAATACATAGAGCAACCTCAGAGAAGTTTACAATTTCAAGCAATTCAAGTTTCAAGTTTATAGTAATTCTAGGCCATCGGCCCAAATACACAATATAATAACAGAAAGATACATGTACATCTGATTGAGTCACAAGTTATGAAATACAAAATAGTAGCATATTCCATAATTTTTAACATTGTACAACAAGGTAGAGAATATACATATTACCACAACCCTTAATGTAAAACACGCAGTATCAAGTTCCGAAAATGAAAAAATAAAAATAAAAAAAATACAAAAGCTAGTCCTTTTAATGCATGAAAAAAAGAGAAAGAAAAGCAGACTTTTGTTTTAAGACACTATACAATAGACATTCATGAAGTATTCTAAAAAAAAAATATTTGAAACTAATCAATTCTTATCAGTCATAAGTTTGGTTACATACAATGCTAAACTTTTTAATGTAGGACGATATTCGGTTTTCATTAAGTATGAGAAATTAACTGGTTCTAGTCTTCCCTTATACCAATTAAACAGATATTGTTGTCTTTTACTATCAAACTTCGGACAAATAAAAAAGGCATGATATTCATTTTGAATAACTAAACGATTACTATTGATAAAACAGTATGGACATATTCTATCTGATCTCTCAATACCATAATGGCGCCCAATTTCTATGTTTAACCTATGATTTGAACATCTGAAACGCGCAAGTGATTTCCTAAAAGGAAATGGCAGTTCCATAGTTAAATATTGTTCAACCTTCAATAAAGATTTAAATGTAGTATATGTATCACATCTAGTAGAGGAATGGATGTCGTCAGACCAATTTTGTTCCAAACAGTCAGCAATACGTTGTTTAAAAGAAAATATAAACCTATTAAAATCTCCCATATCTTGGTTTATCCAAACATAACCATAACCGTATTTGTATAAAAGTTCGCGTACATGTGTAACCCAGTTTTTTCTCCCTATATTATCTTGCAACTTTAACATATAGTAACAGCTTCTTGGATAACGCGTCACTGGCATCTGTAAAAGTTTACACCAATATTTGATGCATTTAATGTAGTAACTTGAGCATAACGGAAGGCGACCACATTCACCTAATGCCATACTATTATTTACGGAATCGTTTACACCTAAAAAGTATCTACAACATTCAATTTGCACTTTTTCTATTTCGGGTGAATACGAATGACCCCAAATTTCTGTTCCGTATGTCAATATCGGAACTATCATGGAATCGAACAACTTAAAGATATCTTGATGTGAGAATTGACCAAATGAAATTTGATAACGTCTGATTGCAAATATGGCTTTTCTAGCCTGTGCAGCTAGCCTACATTTTGCGGTAGTCCAAATTAATTTTGGGGTAAATAAAAGACCCATGTACTTATATATCGAAGTTACGTTTACTTTAGAGCCATTGAATGTCCATTTTTCAGAATGACGTAGAGGACCGCCGTTACGAAATACCATTATTTCCGTTTTACTAATATTTACCGTCATTCCGGAACGGTTACAAAATTCGGATACGGCGTTTAGCTGTAATTGGAGGTTATGTACGGTATCCGCCCCACACGCAACGTCGTCTGCAAAAAGTAGACATGAAATATCTGGTATATCACTCGTGATAAATATACCGTTACACGTTGCTCTCAAGTGAGTGATTAAGTCATTAATGTATAAGTTGAAAATACTGGGCGAATTCACGTCTCCTTGTCTCGTGCCGATGTTACACCCATTTCTATATACATGTATTACAAAGACGCCGCCACATATCAAAAACTTACCAACTTATATCAAGCGACGTTACCACATATCTTACTAGTTTACAGCCCCATATATAAAATGACAGTATTTATCTTAACCACATAACAATAATAACAATAACTGAAAACCACAGACCATTTATCAAAAGCACAGTACCATATATCAAAACCACAGTACCATATATCAAAACCACAGCACCATCTATCAAAGTGTCGCTTGGTTAGAAAAATGTGCAGCCTTACCGGGACTCGAACCCGGTACCCTCGGAAAATAGTTGAATTGTCCCGGACGTGAATTTCTACTTACGAAACCATTCGATACTAAACAATAGCAGATGATAACAGGCGCAACGGAAAGAAACGACAATTTACGCATGCGCGGGCATTAAGTATTATTTTGCCACGCCTGATTTACAAACAGCACACGCCAACATGAACACTTAACGTAACAAATAAATCGACTCACAAGCTTTCAAAACAGCTATAAAAATCATATTACATCGCACCAACTATTAATTCCACCGCACCATGAATCAAAATGCAATTGCAATTTATCAAACTACAGCACCATATTTATCAGTGCCACAACACCATTTATTGAAACTACATAACCATGTTTCAAAAGGAAATCACTACAAGCATGTTTAGAAGTATGTTTATATAGATGACAGGTATGGATTTTTTATTGCCAGTTGTTTGAAGATAATATGAAAAATATAATATGAGATATATATACTGTATGGTGTGAACATAATCAAATCACTTTAGAAAATAGTTAATTTATTTAAAGGCACATTATGCCTCAGAAATCAAAATTTCTTTAATTCTTTAGTAATGTCAAACATGTGTTTATTAATGTTCTGATAATAGGCTAACAGTATGTAACATGTTTGTCTATGAAAGAAATGGCGCTGATCATGTAGTAAAAGAAGCAAAATGTAAACAATGCAGTATTTTGAATTCAATACAAATTCTTATTTACTATAATTGTACCACCTGCCAACATAAAAATCAGCAAAAGATTTATGCATATGGCAAATGAGTACTTTTTGGAAAATTGTAAAAAGATGCAAAAAAAAAAGAAAAAAAAAGATGATAGCCTTTCTGAGGCATAATGGGCCTTTAATCCAACAAAAGATGGCGATGCGGTGGGTGTGGTCTTTGTACCTTGTCATGGTAGGTAACTCTTCCATGTTTCATGTCGATACTTTAAAATATATGAATTATAGGCAACATTAAAGCCTCTGCATGACGACAACGACGACGACGTCGAAACGATCACAATAATTCGAATAATCCTTCGATCAGACGAACATCCCTAAATAAAAAGGACATAGCTAAAGCCACATTTGCCATAGCTTTCATAGAAGCGGTTGATTCATCGCAACGGCGGTGGAGAATTCGTCGCAGAAGCGGTGGATAAATTATGGCCGTTTGCTGTTGACTGAATTTTACTTGATGTTTAATGTTTTACTTGAAACCCCTTTTGAGACTGGAGACCATATATGCACTATTTCAACTTAAAACACGCACACGCGGCATTTTTTTTGTAACTTATGCAAACACACATATATATTACGAAAGATATAAACTAAGTCTAAATTTGAAGCTTAAGCTTCATTGGCATTCATATCAAATATCATTGATTTTTGTTTGTTTACGAAGGCTATTTAAAAGGTGGCAATTGCACTTCTTTTTGTTCCCATGGCACAAATAACTCTTGGTTAGGAGATCTTTTCTCCTTCCCTGGAAATACTTTCTCGTTTCAATGAGATATTGCTTAATTGCCTAAAGACATATAAAGAAGAAAACGTAATGGTGGCTCAGATATAACATTTCCAATTTTTATCTTTCTCTTAAGACAAAGATAATATCTCCTGGTGGGAACAAATAATATATCGTGTTGACG